AGCTTGCCAGTGCTGATGTAGGGAGAAGCCTGATGGACTTGGGCTGATGGACTTGGACTGATGAACTTGGACTGACAATCCCACCAGAAGGCAGAGGAACTTTGGCAAGTTAATGTTGTTTTGGGACCCTGGGGGAAGATTATACACCCCCAGAGATGGGAATCTGGGGGTGGCCAGTGGGCCTTGGTGGCCAAAAGCAGCTGGTGTATTGCCCAGCAGCTAAGCAGAAGAGAAAAGCCAACTGAGAAGGCAAAAGCTGGTACTGATGCTAAGTTTGGGAAGCCCTGAGTGGCTGTTAAGCATTAAGCAAGCTAAGGCCAGTGAGTCTCGTAAAATCACCCGTGGGTGATTCCCTGCTCGTTGTCGAGTGAGGGTGAGGAGCTGAGGAACCCATCCTTGGGGGACGGGTGGGGAACACGGCTTGGGGTGGAGCCTAAGCCAAAGAGGGGACCCAAGAGAGGCCGCATGTGCAGTTTGGATCCCCGACCCATGTGCTTGTGCAGTGGGTTGGCCTGAGTGCAGGGGTCTGCGTGTCGCACTGGTGGTTATGAAAGCTGAGTATTGGAGCGACAGCAGACAGAAACACTGAGGGATGGCAATTACCCCAACAGTATAGAATCGCCAATCCCAGAGTGAGTGGGGGTGGATGCGGTGTGTGGCTTGTAGACAAGACTGCAGCCAGAGAAGGCCAGGAAGCCTGACGGCTCCTGGTGTGTTCTAGTAGATGCCGTGAGTGGTTCCCCTCTCTCGTATGAGCAGTGCCTTCAGCAGCAGATTTGGTGGCTCATCTGCTAGTGCCAATAATTGTCTTTTGCCGCTAGGTTGGTGCCCTGCCTGGAATTATTTGTGTTCTGTTGTATTTTACATATTTTGTTGTTCTATTGTGATGTATATTATTTGTTTTTGTGGGCCATGGCTGCAGTTTTCTATTGCCAAGAGAAACATATGTAACTTATACAGACAATATGGCAGAAAACTCTGAGGGGGTGGACTGTAGGGTAAGGTAAAAAGTATCAGGCTTTTCTGCCCTCCCGCCATCAGGATAGATGATGGAACCCTGCAGTCCTGAATGCATGCCTGATGGCAGGCACCTGGAATAGGGTATGGGCATATGTAGATGGGATTCACTTGGGCTAAGACTGGGCTTTTAAGGGTGGCAGCACAGGGACGCCAGCAGGAGCAGAGAAGCCGAGAGAGAAGCAGAAGCTGAGAGAAGAAGAGAAGCAGAGAGAACGCCAGAGAGCCCAGATAGAGTGAGGATTTGCTGGGGGCTGAGAGGACTGCCAGCCTCCCGGCCCTCCAGCACCCCTGCCTGCCATGTGCTTGGTAAATCTAAATAAAAACCTGCAAAAGCCACTGAGGACTCTGACTCCTCCTTTATCCAGTCTGCTGGATCAGAAAACCTGCACTGTGTCCCTTCCTGCCATTACACTCACACTCCCTGACTTAAGCGTCACCTAGCCTAGCACACCATTAAAAAGGGAAGAGAAACAAAACCCAACAACATAAAGAAAGAATCAGGGCAATTCCAACCAGGCGTGCCCCAACCGAAATAGAAGAGAGGTATCCAGCACGCAATCAGTTTCCGTGGCGTGCAAGAAGGGCTTCCAAAATCAAAGATCACCGCTGGATGAGAGGCAGAAGCCCTGGGTTCAGCAGAAATGGACTGAATTCTCCAGGCTGCCACTCGTGAGCTGGGTGATCTTAGGGAAATTATTTAATTAATACCTTTGAGCCACGGTCAGCTCATCTACAAAATGAGAATAAAACTCAGTTACTTCACAGGGCTGCTGTGACAACTAAATGAGCTAAAGCACCTGGCAGAGCCTAGCATTGAATGAGCAGTAAACACAGGATAATTGTCAAAAAGAATCTAATTCTCACTCAAACTCCTAACAAACAGATCTCTGGACACCATCATTTTTTAATCTTCAACAAGAACCAATTAGGACATTCAAAAACTGTTACGTCACTGTACGGTAAGGAAAAAGTATCAGGCTGTTCTGCCCTCTCGCCATTAGGATAGATGAGGGAACCCTGTGGTCCTGAATGCATGCCTGATGGCGGGCTCCTGAAGTGGGTACACCTGGGCTAAGAGACTGACTTTATAAGGGCGGTGTCGCGGGGACACCAGCAGAAGCCAAGAACAAACGGAAGCCAATAGAAGAAGAAGAGAAGCAGAGAGAACGCCAGAGAGAACCCAGATGGAGTGAGGATTTGCTGGGGGCTGGGAGGACTGCCAGCCTCCCGGCCCCCCAGCACCCTTGCCTGCCATGTGCCTGGCAAATCTAAATAAAAGACCGGCAAAAGCCACTGAGGGCTCTAAGACTCTGACTCCTCCTTTACCCAGTCTGCCGGATCAGAAAACCTGCCCTGTGTCATTCCTGCCCCTACAGTCACTCACCTAAATATCACAAAAAAACATGAAATTTTACTGCCCAAAGTTCACCTCTGGTAAACAAGACTGCATGTAAGATAACTGCCAGCAGCAGCTAAGGCAGGTCAGTAAAATGAGGAAACTCAGGAATTCATCTGACTCCAATACCCTCCTGGGTGTTCTCAGATCAGATACTCTACAGTATCTATGTTGTCACACACATTGTACTTGAAAGCTCTGACATCCAGAAATCACATTTCTAGGAATTTCCCCTAAAAAAATAATCACATAACTGTAAAAAGATACATGCACAAGAACATTCACTACAGTTCCATAATAGTGAAAACTCAGAAGAAACCTGCAACAGATCCACAGGGAAAGATTATATAAATTATAGTTCAGTCCATCCCTTTTAATACAAGTGTTTATGAACATTGGATGTCATTAATAACGCTCTCCATCAGTATCAAAGGAGACCTGTGTCTTGCTAGATCTGAGGTAATCGACCCTAGTGTTCAGATATCTGTCGTCTGAGACTAGAATGAAAAAAAGCATGAGTTTCCCCTTTAAATCAAAAGTATTCCAGTCCACTCTTCAATATGGATGCTGACTTTAAAAAGCCTTCATGCCAAGAGTATTTCCTATAAGCATCCCACAGAAAGTTTAGACGACCTCTACATAGAGATCATGCATTTGGCTCAGCCAAATGAAAAATTTCAGTGACTGAGAGGGAGTCATAGAGAACAGTGTGGTCATTTCAATTTCAACTGCAGAATTTGCTCTTGAAAATGCTACAATAAAAAATATTAACACCATAAAAACCTAATAGCTGCCCAAGGACCAAAGCCATAAAGTAAAAACATAAATCCTAGAACATATTGGCACAGAAGGCTCTCTCTTGCCCTCAAGAAGAACAGCATTCAGGTCATCAACTTGTCTGAGCAAGGGAAATTTGAATCATGAGGCAGAGTAGAATAAATAACAATAATAAATGTAACACCAAGAGGAAGCCTAGGTCACACACACAATGAACTTTGTTTTATATATATGCACTCATTTAGCCCTTAAAATAGCTCTAGGACATACAAACTATAATGCCCAATTTAAAGACCAAGTAAGCAGAGAGTTAAGAGACTGGCCCAAGGTCACCCAGCAGAAGTGGACGAGCACTGGTCTGGCTCCGCGGTCCACAGGCAGCACAGATGGCCTCTGAGAACCACTTTGCCATGCCACGTGCCAGGGCCTCAGACTTGCTACATGTAATAAAGGTTCAGTTCTGAGACTCCTGCCAACTCAAGAGGCAGACGATAAAATGTGAAACCAAAATTATAAGATTCCGTTACCTTTTTCCATCTAGAAATAAAACTCAAACCCGTGCCCTTCAAAAATCGCCAGTCTGTATTTTGCAGAGATAGCTGCCTTAATATGAAAGTCATGCACATGAAGAGCGTGGTACTTCCAGTGCCCAGCTCGGAGTGAGGGTTCAATCAACAGTAACTATTATTACTCTTTTGATAAAACAGGTACAACCATTGAATAATAGAGCACATTTTAATTATACACAATGAGGAATAATCAAATCTCATTCGCTTGAGGCCCCAGACCCCACAGCATAGACCGCGTCGTACAGTTGAAATTATAACAACTCAAAGCTCAGAAATTACTTGTTTCCATTAGAGATCTGACAAGTCATTTCTTCAATTGGTCACTGGTGATTTGCAGATAACTATTAGCAGTAATGAGTATTCTAAATTAAATCCAGAGACAGCACCGCTCCGTTCTGTAAAGACAACTGGGGAGAGAGAAACATAATTGCAGCCTGTCCTTCTCCTGTGTCTTCCATCTTCTCCCTGATAAATATCTCCTGTGTCTTGCAGAGTATGGATTTCATTTGGTTACAAATGAAGAAGGGTCTAATTCTTCCCATGATAAATGAGAGTGCTGAACAGGTAACTTGTTAAGGAGAATTGGAATTGGGAAAATAACCTTATTTTCCTGTTACTTGACAACAGCTCCCCTCCCCTAACAAATGAGAGACACAATGCTGGGAGACACGAAGCATCAAAGCCACATCTATCAGCACGCAGTCCTTTCTCAGACAATCCGTCGCAGCCCTGGGTACAGGCTACGCATGTGTCACTCAGCTGCCGCAAAGACGAAGCCCACAGCGTGAAAGCACAACACGGTGGAACCAACACTGGCTTTGGGGTCATGAAAACGCCCGATTCAAATCCCAGCTCTGCCTCTTAAGCATCACATGACCACAAGGGAGTCGTCTCCTAGTCTTCAGACACCTTATCTGTAAAATGAGGATGATACAAATACCCCAAAGAGTTGTAGCAAGGATATTAAATAGGAAACATAAATAATGTTACATTACATGAAAGCCCTTTGAAAAATGTTGGCTCCCCTCAACCGTGCAATATAATATCCTCACATTTGAGATGCCAAAAATACATGAAAATTAGAAACTGCTGGTCCTGTCAGAAGCCGCCAATGGCCTACATACAAAAAGGCCACATGTAGGTACAGAGAGAGCCCAAAGACCCCACGTTCCTCCCAACACTGGTATCATCCAGCTTCAAAGCTTCCCAAGAAACGCCACTCTGGTAGCTCCACTTACATTTTCAAAGTCCTTCATGTTCCGCGCTCTGGTGGGAGACACTGTATCTTCTGACACGCTTGGGAGCGCTGTAAAACCATGAAAGAGACACAGGGAAATGTCATGTATGCAGTGCCCAGCACTCCTCTTAAGGAAGGGAGCCCAGAGAAGAAAAACAGATGAACAGCTTCCAGAGCACACTCTGCTGGTACAGTCTGCTATGATTTACTAACTAAAATCTAGGGAACGCTGTAAACCATCACATCTCAAATATTTACAGATTACTTAAACTGGCCCCAACGTAACAATGCCTGTCAGAGGGTAGACTCAAAATTGAGCTGGGCATGAAGCAAAGCAGAACTGCCCTGATACGGACTTCCCTTCTGCCTGTCATAAAATTATTTTGCTGAACAGGATGTCATGTCTATGTCCACAATTAAACAAAGCATGTCTCAACGACTTGACAGCAGGGGCTGGCAAACTTTGTCTTTAAACATCAGACAATAAATATTTTAGGCATTGTGGGCCATACCCAAAGCCGAAAATCTGTCACAATTGCTCAGCTTTGGTGTTACAGCACAAAAACAGCCCCAGTTAATTTATAAACAGATCAAGAAGCTGTGTTCCAATGAAAGGTTATTTTCAAAAGCAGGCTCTGGGTCGGAAATTGCCGATCCCCGCTGTACAGTAATTATAGCCTTTGTCAGTACCCAAATCTTTCCATGGAGTCTTTATTCCACAAACATTTATCATACCCCTACCCTGTGCCAAGCACCACGCTAGGTGCTGGGGAGACATGGCTAGAGAGACACAGACCCCGCACCTGAGATGTTCCCAAGCTAGTGGGCAAGAGATACAAACAAACAGCTGTGGGAATGTACTGGGAAGGAATGAATTCATTGCATGGGAAGTTTCTTCTTTTGCCTCCTCCTCTGCCTGCTGCCTGCCTGCTGCCTCGTTAGGCTCAGCTCAGAGCTCCCTGCCACCTTTGGCTTTCTCCAGCTGACGTAGGTAGATACGTGCTAAGGGCCTACGTGCTAAGGGCCTACTCTCAGCTGGGCAGCACTCTGGATGTGGCTACATCAGGAAACAAAACTACAAATGGAGCTGATAATCTGGAAAGAGGAAACAGACAATAAACAAAGTAAGTGGGCAATGACATTGTGTGTGAACAGGTCAGAAATACTATGGAGAAAAATTAAGTGCTTAAGGATAGGAAATTCAAAGGGTAGGGTGAGGATTGCAAATTTTAAAAAGGTGGTTAAATTAGAGAAGATCTCACTGAGAAAGTGATATCTGGACAGACCTGACAAGAAAGATCAAAGAGAAAAGGCAAGAGCATGCCTAATGGATGTGAGGAACCAGACAAGAGAGTAAAAGATTGGAGAGCAATAAACAAAGGGGACAGCGGGAGAGGAGGTGACAAGGTGTGGGGGACAAACTAGATATGTCCTTGCGGGCTCTTCTCAGGGCTCCGAGGAGCCACAGAATTCTAAGCTGAGATGTAACATGACTGGACTTAGGTTTCCACAGGCCCCCGCTGGTGGCCTTACTGAGACCAGTCACTTGGTGAGAAAGACATTTAGAACCAAGGAGACCAGTTACAGAATCTGAGATAATCCAGGCCAGAGACCACGGTGGCAAGAATATAAGCAGGTAAGAACTGATCTGATTCTGGGTATTTTTAAAGCAGTTGAAGTAAAGTGGAGAAAGCCAAAGGTGGCAGGGAGCTCTGAGCTGGGCCTGACAAGGCAGCAGGCAGGCAGCAGGCAAAAGAAGGCAAAAGAAGAAACTTCCCACACAGAGGCCCAGAGGTTGGAGCAGGCATGGTGTTCAGAAATCACCCACCAGAAAAGGGGCCCGGGAGCTGGGCTGGGCAGCCTATGAAGAGTGCCAGATGCCAGATGAAAGGCACAAAGGTTTGTTTCCCTCAAGTGGGCCATGCCCAGCCCCCTGTGGGTGTGTCTCTATGAAGGGTCCACTCATTATTCAAGTACCAGCTCCAACATCAATCCTCGGGGGGGTACTCTTGTCTGCCCCACGTTGTCCCACCAGGCCAGGGTCATCTCTTTTCCCCACTCAGGGGACCTTATACTTCTTCACTCATTACATTCATCACATGAATTCGTCACAGTAATTCCTGTCTCTCCTCGGCTTGGCGGAACCTGGCTCAAAGCTATGTGCCAGCGCCCAGGCCCAGCCTCGCTGGAAGCACGTGCACTCTGGGCTGAGTGAAGGAACAGAGCTATCATTTTGCTGCTTCTCACTGCTTGTAGGAAGGCAGAACAGAAACCGGGATCCTTGGGTTTTATATTAAAAGTTAACATGCTCTGAAGGAAATCCTCAGGGTAAACTATTAAAGTGTTCAGAAATAAACCTTGTGACACTTCCGTTGTCAGTTCGAAAAACTTCCTTTTATTTGTATCTTATCACTTTGGAGAAGAGGGAAATACACAAGTCAAAATATCTCTTATAATATTTCAACAAGGCAAGTTATTAGCACTTCCCACAGATACTCATGATAGCATTCCCTTTCATCAGTAACAAAAATTGTGAAGAATGTTTAGTGAGACCCAAACTGCAAAACAGAAAGTCTCCTCACAATCCAGCTGGAACACAACAGACAGTTTATTTACTCCATGCTGTCTCCTGTGGCCTAACCAGCTATTTGTCTCCAAAGGGCAGACCCGTGTAGGAATGCTGGGCCTCCGCCGGCAAGTGGAATCCAGCAGCCTGCCAGGAAGACCTTGGCAACTGAAGTGCAGACAGCAGCTTCCTTGGGCCGCCAGCCACTCAGCAGCAGAGACCAACAGACCCTGTGGCTGACCAATTCTATACCGTGCCATCATGCTGTCCTGCAGTTCAGCAAACACTGACTGAGTCCCCCTAAGACAGGTAGCAAGAAACCAAACTCATGAAATGAGAACTAAAGGACAGATTCCTCTAGTCCCATGTTTATGAGAGCAAAGCAATACGTAAAACACAGAACGTCTACTATAAGCACGAGGCCTGGATGGGATCCGGGTCCCAGAGTCACCAGAGCCCAGTCCCAGGGTGAGAGCCACAAAGTCCCCACAGTCTAGTATCTGCTTCCCTTGTTCTGATTCAAGAGAATACCCAGCTTGGTGCACTTACCACCATTTCCCAAACCAGCAATGGAGCCAGCACCATCCAGGTTATCTGGTAAATTGGGAACAAGGCCACTAGGAGAGAACACAAGTGATAGAGCTGAGTTAGTATTTGAACTCAGGCTGCTAAACTGCCTAGGCCACACACAACAAGTACCAGGCCACAGCCCAGAAGGGACACAGCTGAGTCACCTAGGAGATGAGCAGCAGGGATACTAGAAGTCAGACTTTGGGGCTGAATTCCAGCTGTAGCTCTAATAGCTGAGTGACCTTGAGCAAGATCATTCATTCATTCATTTATTCATTCATTCATACATCAAGTGCTCTATGTGCCAAAGATAGGCCAGGTGCAGACCACTGTGCCAAATACGAGCTGCTTATGTTTCTGAATCTTACTTGCTTACATGAAGATAGCTTCTGCTACAGAAGGACCTGTAAGATCAAATGAATTAATAAACACATAGCATATAGTGAGTGCACATAAAAACTCAGCATATAGTAAGTGCTCAATAAATGGTGCTATTGTTGTTTCTATCATTATTATCATTACTTTATCTGTCATAAAAATTAAGCTTCTGAAAATCAGGCACCAATTCAGATGCTTCAAGAATGTCAAACAACAACATGGATGGAACTGGAGGGGATAATGCTAAGTGAAGTAAGTCACAAGGAGAAAGACAAATATCAGATGTTATCATTCAAATGTGTAATGCAGAGAAACTAAACAAAGGAACAGACAAATCTAAACCAAAGTAAACCCTAGAAATCTGAAGAAATGAAGCAAGCGGAGGAGGAAGGGAAGGGTAGGAGAACATTCGGGGGAGGATTATGAGTGAACTACAGTGGAGGTTTTTGGGTGTTTCAGTGGTGAGTGTGGTAACAAATCTGAAGAAGTGTGAATCCCCACACTTCCCACTCAGTGTTGTAACCATTATTACCTCAATAAAAGTAATACAACTTAATAAATAAAAAGAATGTCAAACAAAAATTAAGAATTGACTACTAGAGAAGTTTTCCAGGTTTAATTACAAAAACAGGTCCAATGAGGATCTGGAGACACTGACAGAGCTAAATAAGAAACAGGAAGTGTGGTCTGACATAAAAGACCCTACCCTGGATTCTATTCTAAGTTCTGCTACACAACTCTCTAAATCTTGCTTTCTTCATTTATAAAAGGGGAATAGCAGCTACTTCATAAAGTAATTGTCAGTTAAACAAGATACTACGTGCCCAGCAAGGAACCTGGCATACTCTGAGTATTCCATAAAGGGGAGCTAGGAGTTGATGGAAGCTCAGCTTGACTTCTCAGCAGTTGCTCTTTCTATACCTCTAAATCCAAATCCATTCTTATAACCAGCCTTGGAGTTGGACTGGACCTTCAAGATCAGGACCAAGCAAAAAACTGGATGTCGTAAAATTCCAATGTCAGGTGAATGATATTATAAAATGTGTCTGTTATTAAAAAAAAAAAAAAAACTTAAGGAGAAAACTTAAGGAAATGTGCTCTAAATTACAAAAAAAAAAAAAAAATACATACATACACACACACACACACACAGTATAATCACAACAAACGCACACTGAGGGAGGCAGGCCTCCAAGCTCTGGATGGGACTGGACAGGACAGGAGCCTCCCATCTAACCTTCATCACTGCTCTTCTGTGATAGGGGGCAGTTTTTAAATGCTGCCATTTTTTAAAAAAGGAAAGAGACACCCAGAAAAATTAAAAAGCTGAAAAACCCAAACTGACCTGATTTCAAACTCTATACTATACCTCCCGACATCCCTAGTACCTTCCTCAGCCCCCTGGAGGCTGCTGCAGACTTCTGTGGAGTAAGGAACCAACGCTCCCCTGAGCTTCACCACCTTATCTTGTCTCGCTGTCCCTCCATCCAAAAGGAGTCACAGGTTTCTGGGCCTATTTACAGTGGCAACTATGGTCTGTTCACACACCTCAAGACCGACCGAGGTAGAAGCTCTTTAGCAGTGAAGTGCTCCCAGAGGCACGATAGGCCCGGACAGCACACTCAGAAACAATCACACGAGCACTCGCCATTCTGACTATCTTTCAACAAGTTTTTCAGTCTATATTATTTATTCTTAATTAGAGAAGAAATATGTAAATACAAAAAATGCAGGTACACCTAAAGCTCTCCTTGACTGCTCCTCACTGTCATCCTAGTTCCCTACTAAGAAATAACCACTGTTGTCAGCAAGACAAGTATCCTTCCAGACCTTTCTCTACGCATTTATAACTGGCCCTTGAACAATGCAGAGGGTAGGGGCCTCCAATCCCTTGCAGTTGAAAATCCACATGTAACTGCTGACTACCCCCCAAAAAACTTACAAATTAGTACTAATTTCCTGTTGTTGACAGGAAGCCTCAAGGACAACATGGTGAATTAACACATATCTTATATGTGAAATATAAAGTGTAGTCTTGTAATATGCAGAGAATAGAAAATGTTATTAAGAAAATCGTAAGAAAAAATACATTTATTGTATTGAACTATATGAATCCTGCCAGTTTACATGATCTGTTTACAAGAAAACCTGAGAACAAGTGGACTGGGCAGTTCAAAGGCGTGTTGTTCAACGTCAACTGTACATACACAGAGAATAGTTTCACTTGTGGCTTCAAATTAAAACAAATGCAATTAAATTGTATCATCCTATGGCACCTTCTCTTAATATGTCCTGAAGATGTTTTTCAGCAGTCCTGATAGATTTACTGCACTGCTTTGGACTCCTACAAAGCAGTCTATAGTGGCATTTTTTAAACTTTACTGTCCACCATCACAGAAGGAAATATAATACCCTTAATTCTTGAAATGTTTTCTAGGCTGTTCTATTCCATTTTTGCTTTAATTCTGGTGGCAACCTACTGTATAGAACTTCATGAGCAGCCAAGGGGGTCACAGTCTGAAAGACACTTTTGGAAGGCTGTGTATATACCCAACCCCCTGGTGGGATTCAGTGTTTTCCAAGTTGCTCCTTTTACAAATAAGGCTGTATGGATGTCTTCTAGAGGTGTCCTCATGTACATGCGTGAGGATTTCTATAGGACAGATAACAAAAAGTGAAATTGCTGGGTTAAAACATTCCTGTTTTTTTATGGACAAAACACACACTATGGCTAATAAGCACAAGAGAGCAGGTTCAACATTGTCAATCATTAAAATGCTGTCAACCCCACAATGAGATACTGAGCCAGGCCTGCAAGGACAGCAGGAGGCAAATAGGCAGGGAGTGTTAGTCAGAGAGACAGATGCCCCTACACTGCTGGCGAGGGTGTGAAAAGGTGCAGCCCCCTCGGGATGGAGGTGGGCAAGTCTTCAAATGTTAAACAGAGTTCCCACACAATCCACACAGAAACCTGGACACAAATGAATGGTCACAGCAACATTATTTATAATGTTACCAACCAATGAGTGAATAAACATATGGCACATGTGGGAAGGACGCACTGATGTACAGATACATGCTACAACATAAGAACTGCACAAAACACATAGTGTACCATCCTGTTTACATACAAAGTTCAGAGCAGGCAAATCGATAGGCAAAAAGTGGTTTCTGGGACTGAGTTGGAGGAGGGATGAGGAATGGGGAATGTTATGGACTGAATGCCGTGTCTCACCCCAAAATCCATTTTTGAAATCCTTCCCTGCCTATGTGATGGCAATAAGAGGTGAGGCCTTTAGGAGATAATTAGGATTAGATTAATTGGAGGTCATGAGAACAAAGACCTGCACGTGGGTTTTAGTGGCCTTACAAGAGCCACCAGAGTTGGCTTCCTCTCTGCTCTCCACCATGTGGGTTCCAGTGAGAAGCTGGCAGTCTGCAGCCAGAAGTCCTCACCAGAACCCAACCATGCTGGCACCTGAGTCTGGGATTTCCACTCTTGGAACTGTGAGAAAGAAGTTTCTGTTGTCTACAAATCACCTAAGGCACTTTCATTACAGCTGCTTAAACCAAGACAGGGAGTGACTGCTAACAGGCACAGGGTTTCTTTCTTGGATGATGCAAATGTTCTAAGATGAGATTATACTGAAGGTTGCACAACTCTGTAAATATACTGAAAAATCCTCATAGTCTATGCTAAATGGGTAAACTTAATGGCATGTGATATTTCAGTAAAGCTGTTAACACACACACAGCCACATTTTAAATGTTAACAGATCATGCCAAATGGTGTTTGAGAAAGACTGTACCACTTGACAGTCCTCGTGTGTTCTTTTTCAAACTGCATTTCACTACGAAACATGGGGGAGTTTTCAGAGATTGAGCAAAATTGATTAGTTCAACAAGTATCTATTGAGTCTCTACTGTGCACTAGACATGGTTCTCAGTGCTCAATACACAATGGGGAGCAAGCCAGATGCACTTGTTCCCTGGACTCACTGAGCTTATGCTCCTCAAAATACACCATTGGGGTGAAGCTGATGCCTGGGCATGAAAGCAAAGGGATGGACCCAGGGCTGTGAGCACAGAGCACTTTGTCCTGGAAACAGTGCAACATGGTAATATTATCACAAAAATAGCCAATACTAAATGACCTTCCTGGCAGGTGCCAGGCACTTTCTACACGCAAGCCTGCTTTATCCACACAGCCACTCTTTAAGAGAAACTGAGGTTCAAAAGGGTTAAATGAATTGTGCAAGCAACACAGCTAGAAACTGCTGAAGCAGGATTCAGACCCAGCCATCCTGAGTATAAAGGCCAGGCTCTTTGGACACTACAGGCAGGACATAATAAAGGGCTTATGCCGGTTTGGCCGCAGTGAGATCCCTGGAGCTGGGTGCTGGGTCTAAATCTCACAGGGCTACAGCTCCTTGGGGCACCCCCAGGTTCGGAGAGAATGACACAAAAGTCTCAGGACAAACTAGACTCCAGTTTAGTCTTTAAAACAAAGGCTTGGGAATTATTCAGCACAAGGTAAAATATGGAAATACTGTGTTTAAAATACGTATTATTAAAATTAATTTCACCTGCTTCCTTTTACTTTTTAATGTGGCTACCAGAAAATCTGAAATGGCATAGAAGGCTCACAATGCACTGTATCAGACAGTGCTAGTCAGTGAAACTCCCTCCGGTAAGTAGGGGCTGCGAAAAGGTCCGTGATGGGTGGGGTTGGCTAGAAGAGTACATAAGACCCAAGTGGGGAGAGGAGGGGCTTACCACTAAGACCTGAAAAATAACAGCCCTTAAGTTAATTCGGAAGGGCAGCCCCGGGAGCAGGCAGGGCAAGTGCTCAAGCACGGCAGTAAAAACAGGGCCAGGCCATTCACCATAAAGAGTTTAGAAGCCGACACAGAGTGAAGGGCTGTGGAGGTTCAGGATGAGAGAGAGGGAGGCCACAGGAGGCCAGTGAGGTAGACAGAGCCAGATCCTGAAGCACCTGGGAAGCCATATTAAAGAACTTCGCCCTAAGGGTGGTGAGAAGCCAGGGAGGGTCAGGAGCAGTTTAAGAGATCAGTTACCAGCATGAATGCACATGTGGGTCCCACAAAGGCAGGCAGAGGGGGACAGGAGAATATCTGCTGATCTGTTGGGTTGCTACCCTGGGTCAGAAACTGGGTTAAACCCTTTTAGACATTCCCATTTTACAGAGGATGGAAAGTGAAGCTAACAGAAGGCAAGAGATGCCAAGGTCACAGGACCGTGAAGAGGCAGGATTGGAATTGAAATCCAGCTAAATCTGGGTCCCAATGCCTAAGTGACTAGCAAACTGGCATTGAGATGAGAAAAGCTGCCTCAGAATTAATAATGCGCTGTGCCTTAACAGCAATAGAAGCTTTGCTCCACATGCAGCAACTGTGTCGATCAGATTTACATCTAAAAGTGGCCTTAAAGCTATAGTATTAAAGGACTAATAGAGGTGTGAAGGAAATTAGGGCAATCCAGGGGAAAAGTCACACCCCGAAATCTTGGAGCAGTGGTAGTCAATTAAAGTTCACAGTGATGACAAACTATCAAAGGACCCAAGTAGGATGGAACTGCAAAGAGCCTTCTCTGTGCCCCGTAATTACTAGGTTCTCAATAAACAGGGTAACCATTTGTCCAAGTTTGACAAAGGTAGGACCTGGTTATGCCTGCTGTCGAGGCATAAATATTAATTGTGCCCATTTCACTCTGAAAAGCACACCAGATTGCATAATAAATAACATGGTCACCTTTCCAATTAGTCTGTGGACCAAAAAAAGCATCTTATCTTGAGCAGAGCAGAATAAACCCTAGATTCCTAGTCAGGGTTCTCCTCAAGTCCTCTACCCACTCTCCAACCAAGAAGCCAGGGCAGCCATGGGCCCCTGCCCTAGAGTACGCCAGGAGGGCTCTGCCAGCCTTCTTACCTGGAGAAGCATCTAGCCCCATGAACAATGTGGACCCCACCACCTCTTGGGACAGGTTCCTTGGGAGGCTTCACTCAGTCGCTACTCCCCAATTTGTACTGAAGATGGTGGTGGTTGGAGATGATGATGAAACACAATCATTTTTAAGCACAGATTACATGCCACCCACTATGTCTGCCAAACAAATTGCTGGGTAAGCAGATCCACTTTTAATACTCACCCCAACTCTGTTGGGTGGATTAGTGCTTAGCCCCATGCTACAAATGGGAATGGCAGGTTAAGACTCTTTACCAAGGTCACACAGTTAGTTTAAAGGGCTGGATTTGAAGCCAATTCTGCTCAACTCCAGCCAAGGTTCTGAACCATATAGCACTTGATTGCCAGAGTATTGGTGGCCACTATGTGAACACACAAGTACAGTCTGGACAGACCAATTACACTCTCCGTAATGAAAGAAACTCCCAAAGCAGAATGAACCATCAAATGCCCTCAAGGTCCCTAAACCCTCGCCCAGTCCCCACCAATGGCACACTCCAAAAGGACCCCTAGTTGCGCTCTTTCAGAAGACCCCCCTGCCTGCCCCTCACACACTCTTCAAAATATGTCCAGGAATACTAGAATCGGGTGTAGTGCAGATTGGAACCCCCGGATTTCCACACTCAGTATCTGCAGATGGGTCCCCAGAGACAACCACCCCCAAACCCACCCGACACACTGCTCTCTGGAACTCCTCAAATCCTCAAGAGCAAACCCCAAGTCTCCGGTGGCGGGAACCCCGCATTAGCGGGAATCCCGGGCCGGTTACCGCGAACCCCAAGTCCCGGGCCGCACCTGCAGCTGAGAGTTCCCGGGAGGGTGACGTCCTCTTCCAACACCGAGTCCATCGTGGACATAAAGGAGATGGTGGCGTTAGTGTCTGTGTCCGCGGCGCCAGTGGTTCCCCAGCTGTCGCGACCCACCCGGATCGCCAGGTCCCCGCCCCCTCCAACCCTGCTCTTGTTCGGACTCAGGCGGCGCCGCTGGAATTCAAACCACAACCGCCGCCATCTTTCCCGGCGCTTCTTCCTACGGAATCGAGGCGGGGTCACCAAGGCGCGCGCGGCGAAGCCGAAAAGACTGGGCAAGAGACCCGGCGGGGAATCGCGCGCGGGCGCCATCTTAACTAAGGGCAGAGCATCTGCCCTGGACCAGCGAGATTAAAGAATGAGAAGCGTGGTGCCATTTTTTATGAGGGCACTCAGGCCGAGGCGAGGGAATGTGCCATCTTTGTTGAGGGCGACACCCGGGCTCGGTCAGTTAATTTCAGCGGGAGATGGAAATCCAAACCCTCAACAGCTTCAGAGTTCCTAACGTGGAGTGTGCTTTTCTGCAATAATGACCCCAACCTTACTGTCTGTGCATTCAAAAGCCACCCTCCTTGACTTGAAACTCAGATAATGTGGGTACTGGCTCACTAAAAAAAAAAAAAAAAAATCCTTTCTGTGAAATCCCAGCTCGGAGAGTAATTGGCACACTTAGCTTCAAGCAAACAAACATCTCTATAAACCAAGAGGTCAGCAACCTTCTTTCCCCAATCCCCTCAATCCCAGTGATCCTTAATTACCTTTAGGACTCAAACACATCTTGAAACCAGGGCCTTCCACCCCAAGACTACCATGAATTCTGTGAAGGTCAGTGTGGGTAAGGGGTGGGCTTTTCCCCTTTGTATCTGGAGCAGTTTCCTAAATGGACCAATCAGGATCAAACTAAATAGACTATCAGAGTCGAGCTAAATGGACCAATCAGGTTTGAGCTAAATGGACCAATTAGGTTCAAGCACTCCAGCTGTGACTCAACCTTTAATTAATTTTGGAGTGAAAACAGAAAGCAAGGTAATTGGTGGTAAATGGTCCCATCAGGAGCTTAAGATTAAAAATTGTCCAGTCAGGCTTGTAGGGTAGGGGACCCTAAAGAAGATACAAGGCAAAGCAAGAGCTAGCCTGAGTCAGTAAGCAGGCAGCCTTTGAAGAGAGAAGGGGTCATCAGACCAACTTTGAAGAGGAAGCATTTAGCAGCTGGTCTCCAAAGAGAGAGAAGTATGAATCCCATGACTGCCATGGGGTTCACCAGACCTCCGTTACTCCAAGACCCCCATAGATCTTTGAGAAGACCCAGCCTTTGCACCTGCCTCTGCCGTCACCTGCAAGGGGCATCATTGAGCTCAGACCGGTGTCTCAAAAAAGCTGTTCACTGTTGGTGTTTGCTCACAAAGAACTATCCCCAGCCTCTTGTTCTCAACCAGAGTCCAGTCTGGTGCTGGTGAGCCCATTGTCTGGTCTGGTGTCTGGCCCAGCCTACAGACTGCAGGTGTGGGCTGCTGCAGGGTCACCTTATCCTCCACTAGCAGTCTTTTTTGCGGACTTCTGGATACTGCAGACAGTATCTGTGATGAGACAACCTGTGACTTTAGAAACACTTTCACTTCTTTTCCCAATCTCCTGTTTCTTAAGTAAACACTGTTGTTGTTGTTGGACCCTGAGCCTGAGTGACTTGCACATGGGTGAGAACCCACTGACTGACCTGGTCCCCTACCTTGGGCACTGTCCTTTGGCACTGTCTTGAGTAACATGTCTGTGCACTGTTTTAACTTCAGATCAGTAAACTGAGGCCAGGAGAGAGGAAATGACACCCTCAAAATTTATATGAGGATAGGGCCTTCCTGGTGGTACAGGGGTTAAGTCTCAGCGCTATCAATCTATCACTAGCCACTGTGGCATGAGTTTGATCCCAAGCCACGGAACTGACACAAATGACATAGCAAACCTCTCCTGTCTCACCCTCTGCTACCCTCAGCTGTGTATTTTAGTAGATCCACCTGTTCTCCTCCCCACTGTGTGCCCAGTGAACCCCTCCCCAAACCTCTGGCCTACACCCCAGTTCTTTCTACACAAAGATAAATATTTTTTTAATTTTTTTAATAATTTTTATGAGGATGATCTGAGATATCTTTCGTAGGTCAGTCAAGGTAATCCCATATTTCCCACTTGACTCTCTCCACTTTAGCAAAATCTAGCCTAATATGAATTAGCAATATGTGCTAATTCTTTCCTCATACTGTCAGATGATTCTTGCAGTGTTACTTCATTTCTTCCCCTTTGTGCTCTCTTTCTTTTTCTCATTTGATTCCTTCCCCATTTATATCTTCAAGCCCACTGATTCATTTTCTGTTTGGTTTATTCTACATCCTTGACTTTCTCTAGTATTTTACATCTCCTCCATTGATTTCCTACACCCTGCAGTTCAATTATTTTCTTATTTGAAGTTTCAGTGTTGATCTTCTGTTCCTTGATTGTGTTTCTCATGGCATTAATTTGCTTTTCTGAGGTTTCTTGCACATGTCTGAACTGTTTTTCTGAGTTTTCTTTGTATTGTTCCAATTCTTTAATTTTATTAATGATGACTGTTTTGAATTCCTTGTCTGATAGGTAAAGAAGGTCTTCCAGATCTCTGTGATTTGTTCTGTGGTTTTCTTTTCTCTCTATGGTGAACTGTTACCCTGAGGACTTGCTTGGCTAGTTGTATTTTTCTTTCTTCCTACTGCTTGCTTTCAGGTTTGCTCTGCTGTAGTTGGGGCTGCTGTTGGACATGGGTTTTCCTCTCCCAATATTCTTGTGGTTTACTGGGTAGTGAATGCAGTAGCTAGGGCCTCCCCCAGCGCTGATCCAGGTGAGCCACAGGTCCACTGGGGTCACTGTGCTGGTAGGTGGCACCTCTCCTGCCTGCCCAGGCTTGGACCCAGTTGAGCAGCAGGGGTGTGGGGAATGGTGGGGCTGCTGGACAGGTGGGCAGGCCAGAATTGACAATAAAATAACTGCCTGGGAGAATGGGCAGGAATCATTTGACAGACCAGAATCCCTGCTCCAAGGAAGGAACAGACCTTGAAGTCCTGGAACTAATAATCCTTGCCAGTGCTAAGTTCAACTAATGAGATTGTAACAGGGTGGTCCCCAGAAAAGGGGGAGTTTCCCTGCCCCACCCAAGGGAGGGTGGAGCTGAGCAGGAAGAGGAGAAGCTGCAGAAGAGACTGAGGAAGGAAGCAGGATGGAGCCAGGAGACCTGGAGGAGGCGCATGGAGCCTAGAGACATGTGAAGAAACTGCGCTTGTCTTTTGGTCATGGACTGGGTGACACAGATGTGGGTGAGACCCGTGGGGAGGTGACAATGGCAGCTTTTATCTTGATGTTGATTTTGCTCTTTTCCTTCCGGGCTTGTCCGGTTGTTTGTGACCCTTTTCTGTGGGTCCCCACTGGAAGATGCTTTAGACTTGTAGCAGGCTTTGGGGCCTTGTTCTGGGCCGATCCCATATGGATGGACTTTTACCCACGAGGGGACGGGTAACTTTGGGTGCTTCATTTAGAAACTAGACTCTTTGCCTTTCCTGTATTGTTTCCTAATTAAAGTTTCTTCCCATTAAAGTCTCCTATGTTTTGTGTTGATGTGGCGGATGGCAGAACCCATTTAGAATAGGCAGGTTTGCGGGGCTTGGGCTGCCCCTCTCCCTGTCCTATAACAAGATGAATGTGTAAAAAAGCAATGAAGCTGGTTTTGCCACAGACTCTGTGATCTTTGACAGAACACCTGTCTTCTCTGGGCCTCATTTTCTCTCTACATCTGTAAAATGCCAGGGCTGAACTGTATGGACGTATCAGGACCCAACAGCTCTGGGAGCTATTTCTTTGTGTTTATTTCAAAGCTACTGCCAACCAAAATGAAAGGTCCATGCAGCAGGCCGCAATGCAAAAGCCTACCCAGAAGCCCACCTGGGGGGCAGGAATGTGGATACCTGCCTGGAGGACTCAGAAGATGAGCCCCCCCCCCACGAGTCTCTTCTCAGACAAAGAACCTCCACCTGCCCTACAAACTTTTCCCACCCTATGAGCCCAACTACCCACCTGACCTCTCCTCACCCTATAAAACCCTGCTTCCCCCTAACAACGTGCGCGGCTTCACTGACCCCCACCTTGGGTGCGTGAGGTCCGCCCGGGGCGCAATAAACTTTCCCTCCCTTTGAGAAATGTAGCCTGGCTCTCCTTTTCTTTACTGCGCCGAACCTTTCACAAAACACCTGTGTTCTGGTGAGAGGTTGAGTTATAAATCATGACTTCCCAAATAAAGGCATTAACTTGCTATCCAACATGAAAAGTCTTGAGAAAGAAACAAAGAAGCAGGCTTACTCATTTTGAGCATTTCTGTGCCAGGCATATCACATCCACCACCTTATTTAGTCCTCACAAAAACCCTCTGGAGTAGGAGCTGCTATTATTCCCATTTTACTTGCAGATACAAAATCTGAGATTGAAAAAGGTGAAAGCAGCTTACTCCAGGTCTCATTAGTGGTAAATGGTAAAGCCAGGATTTGAGCCCAGTTGCCTCTAAATTCCAGGATCCCCGATGATTTCTGGCAGCCTGTCTCCCCTATTTGCTTTTCTGCCCTTTAATGTTTAGGATTAAGAGGCAGGGGCTACAGCCATACAAAAGTATTTCAGGGATGAATTCGCTGGATTGTACAGACAAAAGAGCCTATGAGTTCCTATGAGTAATCCATTGCCCAATCCAGCAAGTGACCGTCTTCCTGGATTCTGTGCTCCACTTTTTAGTTATCCTAGAAACTGAAATTAGAATCACTTGCACAAAGGGTAGACTCTTTGGGAAGTTGGTTTTCCTGTTTTTGTAGGCAGGGATGAAGGTCTTTGCCCCATCTCTGTTTCACCATGGACTTTCTTTCAGCCAAGCCTGGAGGTGACGTCACTGCCACCAGCTGTTTGGGCTATCCGGCGCCATCTCCTTGACAACAGCAACCCAGCCACAAAGCTGGCATTATTATTGCCTTGGCCAAGGTCATAGCAAATGGCTGGGAGGAAGTAGTTTTCAGCCAGATGTTTCTCATTAGAGTAGACTGCTCCTGAAGTTTTAGCTGCTCAACACACAAGAACTGCCTTTACTAACGAGAATAACTTTTTACAAGTTCGATTCATACACTTGCTACTTTGCACTATTTCATGACATACTTGTGACACTAGGAAGTAAGTTGGGGCATGCCCTGCTCTACAGGTGGGAAAATGAAGGCTCAGAAAGG